AGAGAGAGAGAGAGAGAGAGAGAGAGAGAGAGAGAGATTAGGGCTGCAGAAATTAAGGATTAATTCCTCGATTAATCGTTAATTTTTTTGATCAATTAAAATTCTTTTGATTGGTACTCACCTCTCCGCCAGCTTCCGGGAGTTCCGTCGGAACAGCGTTTACGTCAGAACAGCGTTTCAGGGGCCCACAACTTCCCCCTTCATCAAGGCTAGAAAACCAGATAAAAGAGTATTCTAATCACTATGCCTAATTTATAATAAAGGCATATTCATCGAATACTCTTTATCTATTTTTCTAGCCCTGATGAACGGCATCAATTGTGGTGGCATTCTGTCTGTCCTTTTTCCAACTGAAACTACCTTCAACCCCTTTGATTGGCTTGGGGAGGTCCCTGTTTCTGTGTCTTTTCAGGAACATCCTTGACACTCTGAAGAACAGATTCACTTAGAACATGTGGGTCTCCTGAAGCAGCGAGGATCTAACACCTATTTCTACATATACATTCCTAAAACCCTACATTCCTAAAACCCTACATTGCTGTTTGGTGTTTTTGTGCAAACCCAAAAGCTGGGAGACAGTTTGGTCAGGCAAATTGATAGGGCAGCAACTGTCAGGCTTCAGGTAACCTCTGACTCCCAAGAAAAGTAATATTTACAGAAATGAAGAAAATGTGGGGCAATAAATAAATCATGAATAAGCCTGCTCAATTATAATATAGAGTGTTTGTATTTTTGCAGAAGTCCACGTGTGAATGGTTCTCTTCTCTCTATAACTTGTAGACAATCTTGTAATTACTGACCTGTACTTTGAGACTTCAGTTATAAGAATCTTCTTCCTTTTATCACCGGACCCGAGATTCTTGTAACTCTCTTGTCTTCTCTCCTTTCTCTGTCAGTGCCATGAATTTACAGATGAGCACAGATACAGTGAGGCTCTGATGACTGAATCCATCGGATATCGGACCAGTCGTAGCACATCGGTATCTTCCCAGCAGGGACTGACCACTTCCTGCTGTCCACGGCGTTCCAAGCGCCGGGCCATCCGCCTCGCTAACTCCACTGTGTCAGTCAGTCGTGGCAGCATGCAAGAGCTGGATACCCTGCATGTCCAAAAGGGACTCAGTCAAAGGTAGTGACATACTCTTCAAAGTTACTCATTGGGTATAATTAGAGTGGAAATCCTCGCACTGACAAAATTAAAGTGGAGCTGCAGCGATTTTTTTAGTGTTGGGTAAAGGTGGGGAATGGTGAAAGATGGAACCTCTGTCAAGTTTCTGTTATCATCTGTGACTACCACAGAGAGGGAGGGAAATCAAAAATGTCAATTCTCCCTGGAACAGGATTATAGGGGGATTCTCCCAAAGAAGGCAATTGGTCAAGTGACAACAGTCAAAGGTTTCAAATTTTCTCACTGTGGACCCAGACCACAATATAATTCTGAGAATATTTCAGATGCACTGAGAGGAGCCTCTTGCTATCCTTTATGATAGACCCAACTTGATTTTTAGGTAGCTTAGCTTATTGTAGGTTAGCTTATCTTATGGTTAGGCAGCTCAAAGACACACGGTCTCCAATAGGAGGTACTGGGAGCAACTCAGGGACAGAAGAGCGCCAGACCAAAATGGATATTAGAGTCCATAAAAAAGCTTAAAGGAGGACTATGGGGTTAGGGCTTTTCCCCATAGTTGTGCGAAGGGTAATGGGAGGACACAAACTAGCGTCCTCCCGTTACCCTAAGGTCAGTATACTGCGAGCTGCAGCTCGCGGTATACTGAGACGACGCAGCTGAAACGGATACCGACAATTATGTCTGGGTCCGCCCAGCTGCGTGATTGACAGCTGGCTCTGCATATCTGCCAGCTGTACCCGCCCCCTCCCCCGTCCGTTCCGCCAGTCAGCGCTGGAGGATTGGACAGGGGAGGGGAGAATCCAGTCACTCCCCTGTCACGGCCCTCTGCAGTGACAGGATCGAGAAGTGAGCAGGCGCTGATATGTGTTCGCTCACTTCCCGATCTACTGAGCCGACCAGTGACAGTTTCATTGTCACAGGTCGGCTCAGATTATGAGGCTGAGGGAAAATCACTCACCTCATAATTCTCCTTTAATAATTGTGTTGCTCAAACAGCCTTTGTGTTTTGGGAGCAGACACAACCCCCTTCCCTAGGACTTGAAAACAATGAGAAGGAATGGACATAAAAATTTTGAATTTAGATCTTATTACAGCTATAAGTAGTTTTCCCATAATTTGTAGATTGAAGGCAGTAATTGGGGTTGCTCATCCTAATCACTGTCTGTAGTCTACAAATTTTGGAATCTACAAACTTTGGGAGAACTACCCTTAACTGCATTAAGATCTAAATTGTGAGGGTTTTATGATCTGAGTCTATTCCTTCATTCTCGTTGTTTCCAAGCCATGAGATAGAGGGTTGTGTCTGCCCCCAAAACTCGTTGGCTGTTTGATCAACACAATTATTTTAGCTTGAGCTTTTTGATCCGTTTTGGTCTGGTGCTCTTCTGTTTTCTGTCCCTGTGCGATATCATTCTGACAGGGATTCTAACCCTTCTTCACTCTACTCAAAAATAGAAAAATGTTTTGGCTCGAGACCCCCTTCAGGAGAATGTCATATAGACATATAATTAGGATCCAATTAAAGTCTCACATCTTTTTTTCTTCATAGTCCTGGCATGCAATACGTTATCATTTTTAACTGATTTGTTTCTTGCAAATGGCTTAAAAAAATCTTTCTCTCTGTAGAAATGTGGTTCACGCCCTTCCAACCAGTGTTCTATGGACAGGTAGTGTGGAGGAGGAAAGGGTCTGACCAGGTTTGTTAGACTACAGAGCACATTGGGCAGCACAGTCAAACTCTAGGTCCTATTGGACTACATAGTCCGCACTGTGCAACTGCAACTGGATGAGTGAAAGTGGAGATGAGACTATGACATTGGAAGTTTTTTGTACATGGTCTTTCTGACTGCTTCTGTGACTTGTAAGACTTTAAAGAATATCAGCGAAATACTGTGTATATATAAAAAAAAACATTTATTTCACTTATATATAACATAAAACATGTAGAGTTTTTTCCGGTTCAATGGGTGTACTCAGCTAGACTCTATCTTCAGATTGTGTTGCTATGCTGGTCCGTCCGCTCGCTGTCCCGGCGGTCCGTCGGTTTCTCTTCTTCGGTCCGGCCGCTGCTCTTCTTCCCCGCCCCCCTCCCTCCACTTCGTCTGCAGGCTGGGAGCCATACCCAGCCTGCTATTGGATATTGTAAAATGCAATAGCCAATAGCAAGCTGGCTATTGCACAAGCCTACTGTAAATCAGCATGGGGGGACCTGATAGAGAACTTTCTCCTTCAGGCCCCTCCTCCGCTGAGCCCTGATTTGGCAAAGTCTTGCACCTGACCCGTGGTCAGGTGCAAGACTTTAACAAATCAGAGCTTCAGTGGGCATTTTATATTATGGAATGTACGCGGTCGAACAGACCGCGAACATCCCATAAAGTTCGGCGCTCGGCGAGCGCTCGAACTGCCGATCCTCGGCCCATCCTTATTTACTAATTGACATCCTTATTTACTAATAGTCAGGCAGGAGGTAAGGTAGTGACATTAAAAGTGTTGTCCCCTTTTTTATGTTATGAAGCCATACAGCATAGCAGGCGTGGTGGGATCTGAAAAGTAGGTGTATTACTTTACGAATCATTTGCCAAATTAAAATGAATTAAAATGAATATATATATATCTATATATCTATATCTATATCTATATTTATATAGATATATAGATATATAAATATATATACTTTTCTTCTGAAAATATATTTATCACAACTGGAGCAGAGAAAAACTGGAGCATCTGTGCATGGCAGCCAATCAGTTTATTTCTTCATTTTGTTCAGTTAAGATTTGAAAATGAAAGAGAGAAGCTGATTGGTTGCCATGCACAGCTGCTCCAGATTTTGTCTGCTCCAGTTTTGATAAATTCACTTCTATGAGTTCTATTCAACTTTGAGAAAAGAGGTGCAATCAAGCACATTCACTGTGTTGCACATCTAAGCAATGAGCACAACACACATATGTAACAAGCATACACATAGTATGTGTGACAAGCATACACATACTATATAGAAAGACCAACTGTGCAGCTAGCAGCATAATCAGCATCCTTGCTAAAAAAGCTGAGAGAAAAAAAAATAATTACAGGATAAGCCAAATTGAGGTTGCACTGTTGCTAATTAAATTCTAATGACTAAACGCTGTCTTTATAGAACGGGCAGCTGTACTGCACTTTAAAAGGTGCAGCATATATGCATAATAAGCATACACAGCTGCTAAATGTATGCCATTATAGACTATAAAAGAAAGCAATATTTTTACATTTTATGTCATTTTTAAATTACATTTTAAATAAATCAAAAACAAGGAAATGGTGTAACATGAATATTAGCACAATAAGAGTACAGTGAGGGGAATTTATCAAAAGTGGAGCAAACAGAATCCGGAGCAGTTACCCTTGGCAACCAATCAGCTTCTCACTTCAGTTTGTTCAGGTAAGATTTGAAAATGAGAGATTGGCTGCAATGAAAATCTGCTCAAGATTTTCTCTGCTCCAGTTTTGATAGACCGCCCCCTCTTCCCCCTTCCCCCAGTGAGTTTACTGCATTTACATCTCTACAAAAATATGTATAAAAAAGACTGCCTTTAATATGGACGAACCTCACCCCCCTCATACCCATTAGTTGGGTTTTTTATTAAGATCCAGCAACTGTCATCTTAGCTTCAAACAGCCAGAGTAGGATGGAGCTCTCCAGGGTGCTGAAGCATCATCTTTGTGCATCCACTAACAGGAAACAGTGAAATAACAGTGTAATGGTTCTGCTACGTTATCCAGCAGTTACCTTTACAGAATAATAATATCACATGATTTATAACAATTTATACCAATTAACCCCTGAAGAACAATAACTGTCATCACTACCCTTAGCTTTCTGTATTGACACAGCTGCAGGTGAAAGATTGCCCAATAATGGCATTTGGGAGGTAGGCCAGAGATATAAAATACTTTATAAGACAGTCCAACACGAAGCACTTGGGAAGTACTTGAATATGTGCATATGATTATGTTTTTATACATATGTATATATACTGTATATATTAATTATAAAATCATTAATGAAACAAATGACAAATAAAGAAGAATAAGAATGCAGCATACAAGTGTTTAGTCATTATAAACGCCATAGGTATCATGCAGCTACATAGATGCTGGGACTAATTACCATAAACCAACAATAAATATGAGCATTAGAGAAGGATCCAGATGGCATATGCCTCCAGTCTGCCCATCCACCACCTGCAGTACATAAACTGTGCAGACATAGTCTTTCTCGTGTCCCCATTTGACTTCGAGACGTCTCCATCTCCACATTTGATTTTCGGACTCCTCACAAGCCAAAAGTTCTAGAGCAGAGCAAAGCAAACCCATCCAGACGTGCTTATATATTAATGTAGCTATGGCTTGTAATCTTAATAGAAGTGTGACAGGAAACAGAGGCTGAAAGCACTGTGGTCACATAACCTGAAAAGCGAAGTAGAGACAAATCTTTTTATATAGTATATATGAGTGGCCAGATTATTATGACCACCCCATCAGTACTTCGTTGGGCCACGAGATGACTCCACGAGATGACTTCGTTGGGCCGCCTCGTGACTCCACGAGATGTTGAAAGGTGATGCGAGGAATCTGACACTGCACTGTTGCCCTTCTGTTGTCTTGTACCAGTCTTGCCACTCTCCGTTCTGCCCTAACATTGACTAGTCGCTGATGGCCACAATTCACACGTTTAGACCTAAATTTTCGGCTGACAGTCCAGTCTTTAAACACTTTAACAACAGCTGCTCTTGAACATTTAACGAATTCTGCTGTTTTGCTGATACTCGCTCCATGGTTTAGAGTGCCAACAATCATCCCACGTTCAAAGGCTATTAAATCGTGTTGTTTCCCCATATCCTCAGAAAAAAATCACTTCTACTGTCGTGGTAAACAACCTGCTTCCCTATTTATAATGGTCTGGCCTTCTAGCAACTTCAGCGCAAAATGATAGCTAATTTGCCTACAAACGTCAGGTG